TCATCTTTTAATTTAAACTCCACTTGGTCTTTTACTATCCTAGAAGGAATGTGTGGTATTTTTACAATAACTCTCTAAATATCATAATCCATTATTTGAATGATTATTCTCATTCTTATCTTTTGATAGTTATAGTGATTTTTATTAAATAATAATGTCTATTGAAGATTTTCCTTCACCTAGTTGGTTAGTAATATATGATCTTCACTCTAGACAATGGAGCCACATGTTAGAAATGTGGTTTTGATACCAATTGTTGGCCCAAATGACTACGTCAACCTACAAGAAGGAGGGTGAATTGAGCTTATTCACTTTTTAAATTTCTTATAATTTAAGAGAAATAATAAATGATATACTTAAGTCTTTGAGGGATAATAAATGCAATTCTTATGAATAGAATCTATCAATTAAATAAATAGAAATTATAAATGCAATGAAAATTCTTGACAGAATAATTTTTTAGAGGTTCAATCACCATTATGCTCTCTCTCTCTCTACACCATTATTTTAGTATTTCACAAAGCTTCATCAAGCTCCTTATAATGCTAGTTTATAGTATCGAGCTCACTTTCACAAGAGCTTCATCCTCACAAGAGTTCGTCTCTTTTTTATAAGGGACTCTTACTCTTTTACAAGAGCTTCCCCCATTCTACAAGGGCTTCTCACACTTTTTTGTAAGACTTCATACTCTTTTATAAATGATTTCTCTTTACTATACATGAGTTTTTTCCTATTTCATAAGAGTTCCTCTTTCACTAAGACCAAACTCCCTCTTATAATCTTTTTCTTATAACACCCAAGAACTATAGATGAAGAGATGTACAGTTGATTCTCTTTTATAAAGTAAATAGATAATATAAGTACAAGTTTTTTCTCTCTTGAAGAGTAGATGAATTAGTTAAAATGCAAGTTTTTCTTCCTCATCTTATCATCATCATACATTAAAAAAGAGAGAAAGAAATAATAGAAAATTTGGAAAAAATAAAGACTAAAAACCTTCAAAAGGCAGTGTACCCCAGAAAGAATAAATATAGATTAAAAAATCTGTTGAGAAAACATAAGTGATTATTGAAATAGACATTAAGAACAACTAGTGGAGTGTAAAACATTTGAGAAAATCTTTAAGAGCTCTTGTGTAAAGGATACATAAATGGTTGGTGAGTTAGGTACCCAGAACAACAAACATGCTATAAAAGTTTGAAGAAAATAGTTCAATTTCAAGTTGTTGATTTGAGAAAGAGGACCTACACATAAGTGGTGCAATCGAATCTCTTCTCTTTTCTTATTTACTTTATTTTTGATTTATTGTTTACTATAACTTGATATCATATCCTAACTCATATCTAACATACACACTTGATGATTCGTTTAAAAATTAAACACTTTATTGTCATTTGTTTATATCATAATTGCTATCCTTAAGAACTTGATTAAAAAGAATAAATTTCATTATTATTTAAGTACACATTAATTAGTGAAAATATTCTCACAATAAGATTCATTTATCTTAAGTCAAATATTACATAAAAAAAAAATTAAAAAGTTTACTTAAAAGTTTGAGAATTTTAAAATTTTATATTCACTATGCCTTTTCAGTTGTCGTGGACTTTGGGATAATAAATTATTTTCTACTCTATTTTTTTTCTTTTTTAAATCAAGAACTAAATCTTTCTACTTCATTCAAATTTGAAACCTCTAAAAAATTCTTCTTATATATTTACTTTTATGAAATTATTTTATGAAGTTCTTTTGATAGTTAAAAATGCTTTCTTTGTTTTTTTTTTTTTTTAAATTTTTCTTCGAGAAATCAATAGCAACATTTCATTTTTTTTTTTTTGGAGTTATATTTGAAATTCCTAAATATGCTTATACTTGTAACATCCACAATAAGAGAGATTTTTTATTTATTCTTCTAAAACTATTGAGCTTTGTAAGAGACACAATAAGGTGGGCTTCTTGGTTGCCTTTCGTGGGGAGAGAGAATTTAATTGTATAGTGAGCTAAACAAGTTGCCAACTACTCATTGTAGAAGTATTTGTTGAAAAGAGTAGAAATCTCAAGTGAATTATTTGAATAGAAGGTGAGATTATTGGTCAAATCTCTATTTATAAATTGTTATGAATTAATTTATGTATTTGATTAACTTGGTATTGTGCACCTACTTTCTTTCTTGACTAATTATCCGAGTTTTTTGAGTTGCCATAATATTTAAGTTAATATTTTAATTATATTAATTTAAATATTTAGATTAAGTAGTATTCCTCACTTTTCTACTTGTAGAAATGACTAAATATAATTGAACACAATCCAAATCAAAATTAAGAATTTCAACAATAAAATATGTTTTGTTCAACACGTTTAAACGTCTCCTTTCTGTTTTTTGTCTGGTAGTGCCAGATTATGAGCAGCAAGTTCGTTACGAAAGCCAAAGGCGCGCGTGCATTACAGCCCACAATCGCCATTCCACCAAACTACCCTGACTAAAAAAATGTGGCTAATAAAAACTGTAGAGGCGAGTATAAAATATTTTAATACTCACGAAAGTGGGGTTGCACTACAATCTTATCCACGTTTTTAACGGGCACAGGTCGGACAAACTCGTAGGCCCCACCACGAGGTACTTGGCATCACGAAAACCACTAACACCTTTCTCACCCGCAGGTGACCCAATAATGTTCTCCCTGCCAATTCGACCGACTTTTTGACAGTAGATGACGTGGCATTTTTATTCAATAAAATATTAATATATAATAATAATAAAATTCAATAATTATTATTTTAATTATTCATTTTCGTCGAGCTTATCTAGTCAATAATTTTCGCTTTCAAATTCGCCATCGCCATTTTTCTTTTGTCTCTGCGTCGTCACGGGTTTCTTGGAGAGAAAAAGAAAATCTCACGAGGAACCCATTATTTTCTCGGGAAAATCTTTGTAGGATTACAGATTCTTCTCTATTGCTCTCTTACTCTTCTTAATATAAACGGACAACAGAAAAGTTCATCAGTTTTGGTTCTTCGTGTTTATTTAAACCCGTAATCGTCTCTCTTTTTGACGAGACTTTTCTCGGAGAACCATTTCCGGATTCCAAACAAGTTTAGTGGTCGTTTTCTTGGGTTTTTGATCCAAGTGATCTGGATTCTTTAGGTGAACAGAGAAAACATGACGCTGACGCTTGAGTCGTTGCCGGGAAGTTCAGGGTACTTGGACATGTTTCCTGATAGGAGAATGTCTTATTTCAGCAATCCGTTTGTTCTAGGATTGACCGTCATTGCAGGGATTGGTGGTCTGCTTTTCGGCTACGATACAGGTGACGTAAATGTAAACCCCACTTTATTTAAATCTCTTTTTACTCCTTGGTGTTTGTATGGGTACTTTATGTGCTTAGAAGAATGGGGTTAGATTAAGATCAAACTAATTTGATGTTGTTTGATGTCTGAGTCGATGCTTTATCAGTCGCTGAATTTTACAATTTGGTTTCTTTTTCTTCTGTTTTTCTCTTTTTATGATTTAAATATTTCTGTCTTATGTTTCTCTTTTCATTCGTTATAGTCCTAATTCTGTAAGTAATCCCCAAATGTGAAACATGTTCTTATCGTGTGGCGCTATGTGTGGAGGATTTCCTTGAATTGTGGATTTGCCCTTTTATCTGGTTTAAGGAACTTTTGTTTATCTAGAAATTATTAGACAAAACGAGTCCTCATGATTCCCCGAAGTTAGGTTATCAAATCATCCCAAACCCGATATTCCAGGAACCCATCATAGTTATCTTGAAGAACAAATGTCTTAGACAGCAACAGTTAAAGTCGATTAATTCTGAACAAGTAGGGATGAAAGAATACAAACATTTCACATGGATTTATAAAGACGATAAAAAGTGGCAAATAAAAAATGCAGACTGGATAGTTGGAATCTGGATCTTCTTAGGATTAGAGTTTCTTTTCCGGCATTTCTAGCTGTTTTTTCCTTGAAAAATATGTGAATTTTGAACTTGATTGGAATTTATGGATAATGTTTGTAAAGTTACTTTAACTCCACCTGACTTTCTCGGTCTTGTAGGTGTAATTTCGGGTGCCCTTCTGTATATAAAAGATGATTTTGAGGTAGTCAATCAGAGTAGTTTCTTACAGGTAAAACTTTCATAAGGCTTAAGTTTCTCAAAGTGGTGTCCAAGTTTCTCTTTTTGATCATTACCGTTTTTAATGCCTAAACTTATTGGATTTTCATTTTAATATTCTTTTAAAGACTCTAAACCTTTAAGCTGACAGGAAACAATTGTCAGTATGGCCTTGGTGGGTGCAGTAATTGGAGCCGCATCCGGGGGATGGATTAATGATGCTTATGGGCGTAAGAAAGCTACTCTGCTATCTGATGTTATCTTTACTGCTGGAGCTATTGTCATGGCTACTGCACCGGACCCATATGTTCTTATATTTGGCAGGCTTCTTGTTGGGCTTGGAGTGGGCATTGCATCTGTTACAGCTCCCATGTATATTGCTGAAGCATCCCCATCAGAAGTAAGGGGTGGACTTGTGAGCACAAATGTTCTGATGATTACCGGTGGACAGTTTCTTTCCTACCTTGTGAACCTCGCTTTTACAGAGGTATGATTTACTTTTTGTTAACTTGCAGTCCTAGGGATCGAACTCCAAATCCTATTTTGCAGCATTCTTCCAAGTATAATGACAATTTATTCAATTTTTTAGAAATTTCGCATTCTTCAAATTGAACAATGAATAAGCTGTGTAAGTTGTTCAATTTTATGTCAGATGCACCAATGGACTTAAGTCCATTTACTACAGGCCCTCCATCGGTTTCTTGTACCCCTGGGTACAAGCCTTCAAATGCTTGTTAGAGCAATCAAAAGAAGAAACATCTGTGAAAAATGCATGTTAATTTACTATTGTTTCGAAACTGAAGTAATTAGTTCCTAAAGACCAAGCTTACTAGATGTGTGTGTAGTTGTAAGGAACTAATGAACTCTAAGAACATGAAATAAACCAAATTTAGCCAGGGATCCAGGGAAGCAGAAAATGGTTTACCCTTTAATGTTAATTAAATCACACTTTCAGTGGCTTGTTGAATAGGCAGTGTTAAAATGGCATCATAGATTAACTATTGGGAGCAGAATAAATGTCCATATGCTATAGGTAGTAATGCTTATGGGTTTACTTCTTGAGCATAACTAATCTTTGATCAGCATAGCTCTCAGGAGTGTGTAGTATATGATTGATGACATCATCTTTTTACCTTTTTTTACTTCAGAAGTTTTCTTAGTCAATAGAATTTTTCTTCAATAAAGTATTTCTAATTTTTTTTCTAAAAAATAAATAACTTGATTATCGTTAATTTTCTATGCAAAAATTATTTTTGAGAAATTGTTATTATTATGCTTATTATCCATGGCATGAAAGTTTTCTCGTGTGCAGTTTTTGAAGAGGAAGCATCAAGATAGAATCACATTGAGCAAACCACAGTAGGAATCCCTTTAATTTTTCCGTCTAATATGATGATATCTGATGCTGGCTCACTAACACAGATGTTATCTGTTTTAATAAAACTGTTTTACCAGCTAATAGCAACTTATATATATATATATTACATATTGTGTTCTGGATAAAAAGAATTGATGATAAACTGTAGTTTATGGACAAGTCACTATGTTTTCACCTTATGCTTATAAGGAAAATGGAGATGATATGAAAGTCACATTGTTCCCACTATAATACATTTTCTAACAAACTTTCAAGAATCATGGTTATCAAAATCAAAGTCTAGAGTTTTTAGGTCTTATTTTCTTTTTGAAGGTTTATGCGGATTATATCAATGGCTTTCTGAAATGATAAATTGCTTGGGCAGGTTCCAGGAACATGGAGATGGATGCTTGGTGTTTCAGCTGTCCCTGCTGTTATTCAGTTCTTCTTTATGCTATGTTTGCCAGAATCTCCTCGATGGCTTTTTATGAAAGTAAAATTCTTTGGTCTCTTTGGAAAGAGATTCTAAATCTTTTCCTTTTCAACTGGCTTTCAAGTTTAAAATTGCCTTATTGATTTGCAGAATGATGAAGCTAAAGCTATTTCTGTGCTTGCTAAAATTTATGATATTGATCGGCTAGAGGATGAAATTGAGCACCTTTTAGCAGTTTCAGAGAAAGAACGTGAGAGAAAGAGTACTGTGAGATACTTGGATGTTTTTAGATCAAAAGAAATGAGGCTTGCATTTTTTGCTGGTGCAGGACTTCAGGTAAGAACTGCAGACATATAAAACTTATATAAAACGATTGCCTTCTACCTGAGCAACCTAATCATTGTGGTTACCATTACCATGCGTGATCGGCATTGTAGTGTTCAAACAATGTTTGTCTATATCCATTGTTTATTGTGGAAGTGTGTTTGACATAGTTTACCCAATGCTCTGTTGTTCTTTTACATTAGTAATTCTTTTTCTTCTTTTCTTTTTCTCATGAAATTATATTAATGAAGTAGGTGGAAGTGTTATGTTGTCTGACAAATTTATGATGATGCAGGCATTCCAGCAATTTACTGGTATTAATACTGTGATGTACTACAGCCCAACAATCGTCCAAATGGCCGGCTTCCGTTCCAACCAGTTAGCACTTCTCTTATCTCTCGTTGTTGCTGCCATGAATGCTGCTGGGACAGTTGTTGGGATTTACCTTATTGATCATGTTGGACGAAAGAAATTGGCCCTCTCAAGTTTATCTGGAGTAATTGTTTCACTTGTGATTCTTGCTGCAGCATTCATATTCAAGACATCTGATTTTCTTGGTGGACTTAATGGGTGGCTTGCAGTGGTAGGGTTGGCCCTATACATTGCATTCTTTTCACCTGGAATGGGACCTGTGCCATGGACCGTGAACTCAGAGATATATCCAGAGAAATACCGAGGAATATGTGGTGGAATGTCAGCAACAGTGAATTGGGTTTCCAACTTGATTGTGGCTCAGACTTTCCTTTCAGTTGCTGAAGCTGTGGGTACCGGTATCACCTTCTTGATTCTTGCTGCTGTGGCTGTTGTTGCAATTGTATTTGTAGTTGTGTTTGTGCCAGAGACCAAGGGGTTGACGTTTGTGGAAGTGGAGCAGATATGGAAGGAGAGGGCTTGGGGAAGCAGTTTTAACACTCAAAGCCTCATAGAGTGTGGAAACGAATAGTAGGTGTTGGATTTGATTTTGGAATATTTACCAGATTTAGAGGTTCTAAGAAAAAATATATATTCTTGTTTAATCTATATGTAAGAGTGTAAGACTTTGAGTATGATTACCTTCATGACTATGTATATGCATGAATTTGTGGTCGGAGATAGATCCGAGATAGATGCTTGCGTAGTTGCTGTAAAAGATATATTGGGAGTGTTTTCATGGTCCCAAGAAGAAAGTCATGGATGATCTTTGAACTTTCTTTAGCTATGTGTATTACTTGTTTGCGCCTATCTTTTGTGTGGTGACTGAATTTTCAAATTTTAAGAGAGAAAAAAGAATGATATTAAAAAGTATAGATTAAGGTTACGAAAAAATTTGAAACTACGTTTTCAACACTAAGAATTGTTAATGAAATTTGTGGTAGAAAATACTTCATTATGTATATCTGTTTTCATAGATGTAGTTTTGATAAAAAATGAAGACACTTAAAAAAAAATTGTTGAAAATATGGCAAAGTTAAAAATTAATTTTATATTTATAGTCATATGTTATATATTTTTTAATAATATAATTTTAAATGAATAATATATTTTAAAGTTATATAGAATTTTAGTATTTACTGATAATAGATTGAAAAAAAAAAATTTGTTTAAAGAACACAATCACCTAGACATCTGACAAATCTTTAGTCAATCTAAATCCTATATATACTTTAGCATGAATCTACACTTCCTAAACATCATTTACAAAGCTCCTTGCATCTTACCTCTCTCCCTAGAAACCTCAAACACTTAAATGTTCTTATGCTAGTTGATAGGAAAGCGCCCAATTGTTCATGTTTCTTCTAGACAAGTTAAGAGCCAAGTTGCATGTTGGGAAGGATATTTTCCCTCATATATAAGAGGAGCTGTCATGATTTAAGTCGTACCTAATGCTCAAATGATATATAATATGT